GAACTCGCAACGATCCTCCTGCCTCAGCCTCCCATGTGCTAGGATTACAGGCATGCACCACCACTCTGGGCTAGGTTTGCTTTTCTTGATGTCTGCTCTGGACAAACCTGGATGGAGGCCTATGGAGAGAGCAGGGGGCTGGCAGTGGGGGGGGGGCTTCAATGAGGGGAGAGGGCAGGTGTCTGTGCTTCTTGATGCTCTGGCTGTCTTGAGAGGTCAGGCAGTCTAAGGGTAAGTCTGCATCGCCCAGACAAGGCATCTGAGGATAGAGTCCTTGTGGGTAGATGTTATCAGGATGGGCCCTGGGAAGGGACATGGAAAGAGAGATAAGGAGAGTCCTGCCCCATCCCAGCTGCACCCTGACAGAGACCCTGGTAACCCGGCCCTGCACAGCCGCTTTGTAGAGCTGAATGAGGCTTACCATGTGCTTAGCCATGAGCAGAGCCGCCGAAGCTACAACAGCCAGCTCCATTCAGCCAGCCACCCGAAATCATCAGGGACCACAGCCTACCCCAAGTCTGCCAGACAAACACACAGGTACAGCAGTCCTGTCCCTGCTTGCTGCTACCTCCAAGTCTCCGGGAGAGCCTCATCTCCACATGGTCCCCTCTGCTTCCCAGCAGCTCCTGGGCACCCCCCAACGAACAATACTGGGCCCAGTTTCATGGTGTGAGGCCACAGGGGCCTGAATCACGGCGGCAGCAGCGGAAACACAATCATCGGGTGCTGGGGTACTGCCTCTTGCTCATGCTTGCAGGCATGGGCCTGCACTACGTTGCCTTCAGGTGCATCCATGTCCTCCCCAGGGTGGTGGCAGAGGCAGGAGGGTGGGGAAAGCCCAGTGTGGTCAGCCAGCCAGCCACGGCATGCTACAACCTGCAAACGGTGTCTCTCTCAAGCTAGGATTGCATGACCTTAGCATTTGAAGCCACTCTGGGTAAAAGCGGTACTGCAAGGAGGACTAATGTTGGCATTTTCAGCTTTTCATAATTCGAATTAAATCTTTGGTGCTGGCTGCCAGGTGGGCTGCAGCCAAGTAACATCATGCAAAGAAGCAAATGCATTGTAACTTGAGCCTCCCCAGTGACACTCCTCATGTGGCTGCTGGTGCCCCCTGCCACTCTCATCCATACCATGATACGGATTAGGAAATCCAGCAAAAATAGGAAGAAGCCAGCACTCAATGCCAGCAGCCTGCCCAATTAAGTGACAGAGACAGAAGCAGGATGCTTTCTGGCCTTAGGGGCTGCACCCCCATGCCAGAGCTGCTTCCCTCCCTTCAGCAGGACAGCCAAGGACTTGGGGTGCTCCTGGACCCTAGGAGGTCCAGGTTACTCCGTGCTCCTCTTCTCACCGGTCACACACAGACAGATCTAGGTCCCTGCAGATGGAAACCTGGGAGAGACCCTGGAGCAGGGTAGAGGAGGGGAGCACTTGAGGGACAACAGGGACTGCGGGGACTAAAGTTCACGCTTGTGGGCAACCCCCTTGCAGGAAACTGGAGGAGATGCACCGCAGCTTCATGGATGAAAAGGACCGGATCATCACCGCCATCTACAACGATACACGGGCGCGGGCCAGGTCTGTCCCCACTCTGTCCCGCCCCTGCCAGTATTGGCACCACCCTCCAGAGTCCCTGGCCCGACCGCTCTGGTGCTTTCTCCTCCAGGGCCAACCGAGCGAGGCTCCTACAGGAGCGGCACCCGGGGCTGCAGCCGCCGCCTTCCGGGGCTTCCCCAGGCTCCGGACTTGTGCCCCCTAGCGCCGGCCCCTGAGGGGCTCTACAGGCCCGCAGGGCATTCGAGCCTCGCTGAGGCCCCGGACTGTGCAATAAAGCGGTTCTCAGAGCTTCCCCTGTCCCGCTCTCTCCTTCGGGCCCCACGCCCGCGCCCCAGCCATCGGCGCCGCCACCCGGGAGCCCGGCCCCCTGGGCGGTGCGT